AGCATTGGGCCTGTCCTGCTGAAGCCGGACTACAACTTTGTGGAGCAGCTGGAACAGCGGAAACAGGTAAATGAGTGACTTGGGCCAATGGCCGATGAATGCATCTCCATGGGAGTTCTTGCCTACTCCTGCGTGGGAGCAGTAACAGTATTTCCAGTTTATCTGGGAGTCAAAGAGGTCGATGGTGGGTTTGCCCCATCATTTGCACAAGGAGAGAAAAACAGATTGATCTAGCTCCCATTCATGGGCTTGCGCTTCTTTTCGAGTGAGGAAATCGGCCAGATTGTTGTCTTGACTGGCTATATGTATTGCCATGAGACAAATGTGATGAGAGAGGCACCATTCCCACAGGTTGACAACAAGGTATAAAAGACTTGAGGAGTGAGTGTCCCGTTGTTTGAGAATATAATATATCATGGTGGCATTGTCTGTGGCTATCTGAGCCATTTTGCTGACAAGATGTTTTTTGAAAGCTTTGCAAGCTTTTATTACTTTTAGCAGTAAGAGTTCTAGCTTGTTGATATGGAGCAGTTTCTCTCTTTGTGACCACCGGGCATAGATTTGCAGAGATCAGCAATGGGCACCCCAACCGGTAAGGCTGGCATCTGTAGTAACTTGGATTTGTGGGCAGGGTTGTTGAAAGGGCCGTCCCACCGTCAGGTTCTGAGTGGAGTGCTACCATGTAAGCTGGGAGGCGAGTTCTGGAGTGACTTGCAGCAATGTATGTGGTGAGTGTGTCAATGGATTGAACAAGGCTAGGAACCATGCCTGGAGTTATCTTATTTTGAGGCGAACATGCTGAACCACAACAGTCATGGACACCACAGTGCTTAAAAAACATCGGGTGGTTAAAGCAGATACAAGTGCATGCCGAGTGCAGGAACGTAGTAAGGAGATTAGATTGAGGTGTCTGTTGGAAGAAACGCGCAAGGATGTTTGGAGTCTATAATTGCTCCTATATAATGAACCAGCCTTGTGGGTTTTAACTTGGATTTGTGTAGATTTACTGCAAGGCCAAGATCCTGGAGAAGAGACAAACTGAAGCGAATGTCTTGTGCTTTGTGATGGGAGCATGCTATAATTAAAAAGAGAAATTTAAAAGTCAAAAGCCTTGGGGCACCTTACAGATTACCTCTTATTAATGTGAGCTTTTATGGACTTGATCCAGGGAATATAAAATATACAATAAAATATAAGACGCCACAAGGTTTTTGTCTTTTTTTTAATTTGTATTTTAATTTTTGTTCTTTGAATTTTGCCTGATATAGAAATGCTGAGCAAGTCTTTTCCAGACATTGCTTTCCTTTCTTCAAAAAGAAATAAAGATGATGCTGGTTGAAGAATTCTGTGTGCTGAAGCACCAAAACCAACAGGTTACCTACTTGTAACTGTAGTTCTTCTAGTGGACATCTGTGATTCACACTACCTATAGGTAATCCGTGCCTGCACGGAGCCTCATCAGAATATTCTAGAGCTTCTGTGATAGCAAAGGAAAATATATTAGCATAGACCCCTCCCCCCTGGTATATGTACCTTGGCGCCAAGGCTCTCCCTTCAGTTAGGTCAACTGCCGCATAAAGAAAAGAGCATGACATTGGGGAGGCCGGGTTGGGACGTGTGAATCACGGAGGTCACTCGAAGAACTACAATTACAGGTAAGTAACCTGTCCTTCTTCGTGGCCTCTGTGAATTACACCATGGGTGACTAAAAAAGCTACCATACCTGGAGGAGGGTGTCACGCCAAGGTAGATGATAACACAGCACGCCCAAAAGCAGCATCAGATTGCTGCCCAACATCCAATGTGTAATGGATGGTAAACGTGGACGGCTGTGACCATGTGGCAGAGGCACAGATGTCTGGTACGGGGACGCCCTGAAGAAATGCGGTAGATGGCACCTACACCCTAGAATGAGACAGTTACTCTGTGGCACTGAAACTCAAGCAAGCTGATAAGCAAGCTGGATGGTAGACAGAACTGAGTTAAGATATTCTCTGCGAGGTAACTTGAAGACCATTGGCAGGAAACTGGTAGCTGACAAAATGTCTAGCTGAGCATCTGAAGGATTGAGTGCAGGCTATGTAAAAGCTAAAGCCTGCCTTACATCCAGAGTGTGAAGGATCCTTTGTTGACGAGTAGATTGATTTAGGTGTGACATTAACTGTGTGTCTAGCGGATAGCATCTGTTGTTTCACCATCGAAAGACCCTCTTATTGAAAAGTTTGTGCTAAGACCCTTTTATCTTCAGGGAGAGCATCAATAAAGGTAGACATATTGTCCAGAGAAAACATTGGTAGGCTCCCTTAGCTCCCTGATAGTTAGCAACTCTCATGATGAAGGTGGCAGAATATAGCCATCTGCCCATGGAGTCAATGTGCCTGCTGTCTTTATTAGGTGGTATTAGTATTTGTCTGTGTTGATAGTGAGATTGTGAAGCTTTGACAAATACGGAATTGGGAGCTGGTTGTTTCTGTAAAAAGACTGCGCCTGGGTCATGTACTTGATAAAGGTCGTCTATGCATTTTGACCGAATGAAATGCTGTGTTTGGTCCAAGAATGTCTAGCTGTGCTCAGGAGAGAAAGGAGCATAGGACTGGTGTGAGATGAGATCATAAAGATGATCTGCTGCTCCAGCAGTGGGTCTGCGGATTTGTAGGTCCAGGGATTTGGCCATACGAATCATTAGTTGAGCATAGGTTTGAAAATCCTCTCCTGGTGTGGTCTGGTCTGTGTCTGCCAGGTTAGAAACCAGCGATGTTAAAAGTCCTGATGGTGTTTGAGGCCTGGAACCATGACCAGATGGGTCAGCATCATGCCTCGAGTCAATTAACTGTAATATCAACGAGTTGAGCATAGGTTTGAAAATCCTCTCCTGGTGACAGATGGTCTGTGTCTGCCAGGTTAGAAACCAGCGATGTTAAAAGTCCTGATGGTGTTTGAGGCCTGGAACCATGACCAGATGGGTCAGCATCATGCCTCGAGTCAATTAACTGTCGATCAATATCAACGCTGAGCGACTGGTCCTCAAAATATAGGTGTTGACGTCAAGTTGTTGATGTTGAAGGACTGTTGGTGGACAGTGGTCGATATTGAGGGATGTCGATCAGTATGGACATCAAAGGTGCATCAATGAACAGTGGTTGATAGTGAGGGTCTTTGATCGTATGGACATCAAAGGTGCATCAATGAACAGGGTTTGATAGTGAGGGTCTTTGATCAGTATGGACGTCAAAGGTGCGTCCATGGACAGGGGTCGATAGCAAGGGTCTTTGACTGCTGCCGACATGGAAGGTGGACAGCATTCAATATAGAGGATCGTCTATATCGAAAGGGTTGGTATTGAGGTGTGTCAAAATGGAGGGTGCTGTCAGTGTTGAGACAGCTGCCGAGGTGGTAAAGGCGTTGATGGACCACACTGTATTATGGTGGAATAGACAGATGCTGGTGACACTGAGTGGCATGAGTGCTTGTGGTCCCCATAACGGAGAGGAAATAGCAACTTGCCGGTGCTGCAATGTGCCCAGAACTGAGGAGTATTGATTGGCTTAGTTGGGTCTCTTAGGTGCCAGCAGATAAGATGTGCCAGGTAGTCCTGGGCGATCATGGTAATAAGATTGCTTCGACACAAAAGGCTCCCTAGCAGAGACATCCTGCAGGGGGACGCTGCCGGACTAGGAAGAGCAATTGGCTGATAGTGTTTGGCGGGCTTCTCCATTAGGCACCTTCTGGGGCAAATGGCATCCCGATGATGGTGCTGAGCATGATCTCTTTCTGCGCGAGAAGGCAAGTGGACGCTCATATAGGCTTGGTGCATTTGTCGATGTGCCGGAGGCCAAGGTGGTAGAGGGGCAGAGTAAGGCACAGTTTCTAGTTGCGTTTAGCGCCATGGATGTCTGGCAAGGCAATTTGTGAAGACTCATTCAGAGAGCCCAAGGATTGTTGCGGGCTATCAGGGGAAGCCATGAGTCGATCAACATGCTGTTCCCATTTGGGAGACTGTGATGGTGAGGTTGATGAGGTGGAAGTGCCTCTTCATCTGAAAGAGAACCGATGCAGATGAGGTTCCCAGACTCCGGTGGTTATGGAGTCAGGGAAATGGTTGTGGAAGGCTTCAGTTTCGAAGACTTAGCCTTCTTCGGAGGTGATGGTTTCAGTACCGAGGAAGCATCCATGGACGGTTTTCTCTTAGAGGCTGTTTTCGATGTCGAGGGTTTCAACGTAAAATGTTTGGCTTTATGCATTCGCGTGACCGATATCGAGGGCAGAGTAGGTTGTTGATGATTAGAGCAAGATGGAGTAGCTGACGGGCACTATTTTGTCGCTTCGGAAACAGCTTCATCCATGGCTTTAGAGATTGCTCCCAGAGCCAAAGCTTGAGAGGCGACTGCAGAGAACTCCACGTTTAAAGTTTCTGCAGTGAGGGGAAGAGAAAGTCTGATGGCCTCACCAAGGCAAAAAGGTGTTTAGCATGGCCGTCAGAGAGTGGGATCTCGTTATCACAGGCTACGCAGCTCTTAAATGGGACTGAAAAGGCCATGAACCGAGAACTGGTTCAGAAAAGAAACTAACGGAAAGTTGGGGGGTGGGACACTTCAGCCTTAAGGCCGGAGTGTATCTTTTGAAAATAATAAGGATAATAATAATAAATAAAATTCAATGACCTTCCTTCTTTCGTTTTCAGATTTCTCACAGAAGCAATGATTGAGGCTCTCAACATGGCAGTTGAAAGAAACTGAAGGGAGAGCCTTGATGCCAAGGTACATATACCAGGGGGGAGGGGTCTATGCTAATGTATTTTCCTTTGCTACCACAGAAGCTCTAGAATATTCCCACAAGCCTCCGCGCATACACGGATTACCCACAGTGTGAATCACAGAGGCCACAAAGAAGAACCAGTAGTAACAATATATTGCAAAAATAAAAAATGGAAAATAAAATCATATCTTATTTTCTAGCCCAAATACTGTTTTCTTGAGTACTGCACAACAGCATCAACACCAGAACATCAAAAGTGTTGTTAGTTATACATTCAAATTAAAAAGAATTTCGACACATGGCTTGGTTTGTTTATCTCAGCCTTTTCTCCCTGGGAAGGTACCTACAAATACATTTCTGAACCAAGTGTTATTAGTAGAGTATGTTCCCAAATGCCTACATGCCTTTAAACTGCATTTCCCCCTGGGAGGAAGGGAGATCTTCAGCATCTAACCTTTATTGCAGAAATGGTCAATCCTGTTACAAACAGCTGTATGTTTATCATTATGGATTTTAGATGATCTCTAATTGCTATCAAGTAGCCAGTTGGTTCCATTTCTCTTGTATAAACAGTAAAAGCACTGAGAAAGGTTGTGGAACAAACAGATCTTCATCCTGGTAATCTTGTAATTTAACAGTTTTTAGTTACATCCCTTTTGGCAGAAATTGCCCAAGATATTTTACAGTCCTTCAAGTTCTAGTGTCTTCTTCAAGGATCTGAGTCTCTGGTCTTGTTTTTCATTTCTTTCTTTAAAAACAGGCAATGAAGGAAGATAGACTGAAGTCCCTTTGCTTGCACTTCATGCATTCAGTTGCTGAGGCACACAGTCATGCCAGCAAGCTGCTCAGTTCCTTTGCCTACGGGCAAGAAACAGCCAGACAAGAGCAATTCATGTCTGTTTCCTGGCCTTCTATTTTATAAAAAGAAAGTTATTGTCTTTGCCCTTTGGTATTTTAGAGCAGAATCTGGGCAACGTATGGAGAGTGGGTGCTTGCTACAGCTGCTAGCAAAGGGAGGTCACTGGATTCAATCCTGAAAGAAAGACACACAGATATTTGTCAATCTACATTCACAGTCCCAAACATCTCAAAAATCATTTATAGTGTGGACTATTTTATCTTTTCAAGGTGCCTGCCGTTAGATTAATAAAACATCAGCAGCTGTTTGGGTTTTTTTCCCCCTAAAGGAAGAATCTTTGAGCCATTAAACATTGCAACTTTACTGTTGTAGCCAATATACATTCCTACAATTAAAGAATGCACTCTTTTATTTCATACACACATAAGACTGGGTTGTTTGTCACAAGAAACATGGCCCCCTGGACCCATCTGGTGACAGGTCTCCACTACTAAATATTTAATTGTTTCCAGCTGTCTCGGGAACCAAATTCAACAAAAGCAACCAAGAAAATCCCCAGAGAACCTCATGGATTTCAGTTAAGGCCCTTTAATTGAGCATGCCTACTTAAAACTAGACACTGCTTCAACAAAGAAGGAAATTTTACCTGGAAAGGAGTGTACTTTTTGTTGTTCTGAATTTGGTATGCACTTAACATACTGCTTTAGGGGCCTGCTGAATGAGGAATGGTGTAGATGGATGATCATGCCACAGGACTGTATTAATATTTGTACATTTCTTGAAAAGTGAGGAGAAAATGCACTTTTCCAGATATATTCCAGCCAAATTACCAACAAACTAGCTGTTGTTTTTGCTGTTGCTCTTCTTATGGTACAGATCCTTCTAGCTAGTAAAGATACATGTTTTTTAGAGGGGGTGGAGTCCACTTTTCACTGAACAAGGAGCGGATGGTCTCAAAATGTTGCCCATCCTTGCCTCTAGCAGACAGGAGTAGGACTGGCTTGAACGGGTAGGTTGTCCTATGAGACTTAAAGAGTTCCATCCTAGGTATGCTTTCTTCTTGTTGTTGTTGTTGTTTAGTTTAGTCATTAAGTCATGTCCGACTCCTCATGACCCCATGGACCAGAGCACACCAGGCTCTCCTGTCTTCCACTGCCTCCTGGAGTTGGGTCAAATTCATGTTGGTAGCTTCAGTGACACTGTCCAACCACCTCATCCTCTGTCATCCACTTCTCCTCTTGCCTTCACACTTTCCTAATATCAGGGTCTTTTCCAGGGAGTCTTCTCTTCTCATGAGATGGCCAAAGTATTGGAGCCTCAGCTTTCTTATTAGCAAGGCAAATTAACATGGAAATGGCAGCAGGACTGGAACCTCAGCCACTGATCCTAAATCCAGTTGGAAAACTGAAAGATTTCCTTACACACATCAGGGCAGAAATGCTTAAATTCTCATATTTAAAAATTTTCTATGGCAACTTACAAACAAATCTTATTGGACAAACATTTTCAGAGACTGTAAGGCCCTTTTTCAGATGCATAAAGTGGGCTAGAGACCACAAAAACATAAGCTGAATAAAATGTGTTTGTCTTTTAGATGTCACGAGCCTTCCCGCCCCTCCCCCCCCAACATGCACAGTCCCTTGGGAATATGGAAAATTCTGTTCTCTTGCTCTGAAACCTTAGGGAAATAGATGGCTATTCTGAAAACCAAAAGGTTGCCATTTGTAAACAGAGTCTTACCCAAGAGCTTCACTAAGTAATTTCAGTGTTTCTGCATGGACAAAATTAGACACAAGTAATTCTGCAGCAAATCTGCTACTACACATGTGTTCAGGATAATCCTAAAGGAATATGCACATAAAGAGGATAAAAAAGAGATATTGAATTGAAATCATACCCTAGTACCACTCCGAGCTCCTTGACATGAACTCGCATCTGGCCTTTGAGATATTCTGACAACATCTTGCTCTTGAAATACAGCTCCTGCAACCGATCTTCCAAGTGCATTACACACTGGAGCCAAATGAAACAGAAACAATGGCATCAAAAACCACCCTATATTGTTTCAGACAGTTGTCAAACAAGAGACAAATACTATTCCATGGCCTAAAACTCGGAGAAGTCACTTTCCATAATCTTCCACCAGCATGGCTGCATGTGCTGAATCTGACACTCTGCTCTCCTTCTAAAGACTTGGATAAGCATCCAAATACACTTCCCTCTGAAACGTGTCTGAGCTTCTTTCATAAAAATAAAGCAGGACAGAATTAAATGGCTTAAATTAATTAAATTAGCATAGTGAGGTACAATTAGACTAGCTTCACTGAATCAGTGGGGATTCGGAGAGTCTCTTCCTCTGTCAAACCCATTCATTCAATGAGCCTACTCTAGTTGCCACTTACAATGTTCAGCAACAGGATTTCAGCCATTTAGTTCATTCATTCCAAGCAGGAGAAAGACTGAGTTAAGTGCTGGTCAAACCATCTTTAATTTTATTAAAAACACGTTCTTAGGAACTACAGTTAGATGTTAACAGACTGTAATATCAGATATGAAATGTAATCTTACACTTTTAACAAGATAACTAATATTCTGAAAAATGTTGCTGTCATTTCTGTCTACTTCATCTGAGCAATTTTGAGTAGGCTCCAAAATCATGCAGAAGTATTTGCTTACAAGAAGGCCAGGAAACATTACCCTCACTCCAATTGAGCTCTACCCCTATTTGGGAATTATTTATTCTTCTATCTGCCACATGAGCAAAGAAAGTCCAAGCCGCTCTCCACTGCAGTCCTTTTTTTGCTCATGCCTCTAGAGAAACGAGGTTCCTACTTGCATGCAGGCTGTCCGTACAAGAAAGGACCCTGGTTTTCCATGGTTCTTGTTTGCATAAGGAGACTCTACTGAAGAAGGGTTCCCTTTCTCTGCTGACACATCTGTTCTCATACAGAGAAAGCGACACCAGAGGGGATTCAGGTGCTGCCCCTGCTTGCATCTTGGCCAAAAGGAGGATAATGCCCGATCAGGGCTTCTGCAACTTCAACATACTGTATAGCTGAATCTGGCAGCATACACAGAGTCACCACACTTCCTATATGATTCCTGGTTAGCTGGGATGTTTCTCAAAAAAGAAAAAAGAAAACTTGACTAGTTCTGCAACAGTCTTTTAAAATGGTAGACGGAAATGAGGTGAAGGAACAGCTATTTACAAGTAGCAATAAGAGGTAAACAGGTAATTTTCTCCCCCAAAATTACAAAAGTTAAAATCTGACACTGATATATTTACTGCTGGGGGCGAAATCCAAACATAAAAAGAAATATATTATGCTGATCGGACACCAGTCCTATTTAGAGCAACAGTGAACAAGACAGGTTTTTGTACAATTGCTCCATTGCCATTAGGATTGTTATTTTCATATGTTAACTAGTTCTGAATGGAATATTCACAGAAGACCTCTGATGCATAAGCTGAAATATTACAATGAATGAATCTTGATTTATAATTTGCCCCTCATTATGTCAAAGCTGGGCAAGAAGACTCTCTACTGAGAACTCTAGAAGTACTGGAAGAATTCCATAAAAGCAACTTCATTCACTTTAATGGATCTGTATAAGTCCCAGCAAAATACTAAGAGGTCGCTGAACAGCTGAGCTTGCTGAGGCGAAGCAAAGGTTGTGTATCTAAACACATTTCACATGGAAATAAACTCAACTAGAAGTAGAAAGAACTAGAACACAAGAGACACAATTACACATTTTACTTAGTTTTGAACAGAGGTAGATTTTTAAACAACTGCTGAATTCTATTCACACTGAGACTAGATTTATCCCTGATCTCTTATGGACTCCCTAAGTACTTACAAAATTTGGAGATAAATGATGCTTATAAAGCTGAAGAGTGGAATGAAGGAGGTTGGAGACAAGGTTAGAGACGAGCACATCTTTCCCAAGTTTGTTATCGATGACTCGCCTCTGGCTACTGGCCACTTGCACTGTCCATTTATCCGTGTCTGCAATAATGCAGACAGCTTCTGCAATTGGTTCATCCAGAACTGGGTGCTAGAAGGCAAAGAGGAACACAGCGTGTAAAAAAAAGCTACAACATGTTCCAAATACACTGTTTCTGAGCAGTGGTACTATTGAAGCATGCTCCTTGCAAATACAATGTTTGTATTAAAACCTGGGCGGAGGTGGGGGGAATACATTTGTCTGCTAATTTCATCATATATCCAGTGTTTGGACCAAAATTGCTGCTCCATGGATGTCTAAAAGAGAATGTTTCTATTTGCATTCACTGTATCAAGTGCAGAGGTTAAAAAAAAACCACAAACAAACAAACAAACAAATAAACAAAAAAACCCTAGCTTGCACAATGTGTATGACCAAGATAACTTTAGACTTGGATTTCTGGAGCAGCAGTCCCAGTCACGAAATGGCAAACTATTTGTTCAAGGGAGGTTTTCAGATGTATTTTGTGATATAACAGGGAGCCTACTGTTCAAACAAAATGATGAAAGATCTCACAGACATGAACAAGTACTTGTCCATAGTCCTTTGAGCTGTTACATTTGTGCACTTGTCCACTTATGTCTATGACACATTCAGATATTTACAGTTTTAGAGAAACAGAACATTATATTTCTTTAAGGCAAAAACACTTTAATGCTGCACATTTTGCTTTGTCGAAGCAATTTAAACTCATCAGTTTAATTTCACTTTGCAGCTTCCACATAATATTGCCAGGTGTTAAAGCAACAGATAAGTATCTAACATATGAGAAAGGACCAGCAGGGGGAGCAAAGCACAAAAAAATCAACAATG